CGAATATTTTCTTGGATGGCACCTGGGAAGGGTAATCATTGTAACAACCAGTATGTGACAGCTAATATCTGTTGAATCATCATGATGTGTTAGAAACTGCAAGTTCTTTACATGCAGCATCTGATTTAATGTGTACCAAACCTTGGTGGGGGGTGGTATTATTTTCTCCCCATTTAGATGAAGGAAAAGGCCAGTTAAAAAATGGTTTGAGATTTTTTTGGCTAGGCTGAATTTGGGGGGCAGAATGGGACACTTCAGAAGGCTTAAATTGGGTAAGTTCTGAGTAAACCTGTGTCTCTGGAGGACGGTGTGACAACGGTTAAACTTTCCAAGATGACAAGCTCAGTTCCCGTAATTCTCCTAAGAAAGCTCCTGGAAAATCTTGCAGAAGTTCGTTCATTCTTCCGCTTATTCAGTGAATAGTAATCGTGTGCCTGCCACTTGGAAGGGATGGAACTGGGTTCTGTGGGTCAAATATGAAGCCGCAAGCCATGATCTGTGCCTTCAAGGACTTCACAGTCTAGGGGGAGACAAGTCACATGCAAAAAGCAAAATTAAGAAAAATGAGTAAAACGATAATTAACATGCACTGATTGTTTAGTCCATACCATGCATGTGCTTTAGAAATTTTATCTCATTTTAGCTTGAGCACAGGTTATGAGGTGGGTGCAGTTGTTGTCCTCATTTTGCTAGCACACTTGAGAGAACATAAGGACTCTGACCAAGGTCATGCAGCCAGTGTGTGGTGAAGCCTGCAGCAGAGTCCCTGCTCTTAACCTTACGCTGCTTCCATCGTTTAAACTGTAATAGTTTAAAATTGAATCACAGTGAATAGAAGGGTGAGACATACTATAAGAAAATATTAATTAATATCCATAAAAGTAAAGATGGAGAGGGAGAATGCAATAAGTCAACTGACAATGAGACAAGAGGCAAAGGGGGCTGAGGAAGAAGAGGAAGGAAAGAAATGTGGCAGAAGGAGGAGGTGAACCTGGGAGTGCAGCATCCAATGTCAAGGGGATAGAGACTTTGAGGGACAGGGATGTCACTGCAGCATGATCCTTGGAGATGAGAAGAAAGAAAAGGTCTGCGCTTTGGCTATTTGGAAGTTATTATTGACATTCTGGGAAAGCTTTGGGAAGAGAATAGAAACACAAACAAGATTGCTTGGGGTAAGTTCTGAGTAACCACGTGTCTCTTAGTTGCTAATTCGGATAACAGAGGGGAGGGTCAGGCAACACAAATGTGGTAAGTGGGCGGGGTGTGAGAAGTCTTAGGGAGTGGAAAGATCTGTGGCTGATTGGATGGTCCGTAGTGACTGGTCTTCTGGTTTTCCGAAAGGAGCTAGAAAATCAGAATTTTTTGCATGACATCGCCTGATTTCTAAATGTTCAATTTAAAAACAAAACAAAACAAAACAGCATTGAAGGCCAACTGTAATACATCTGTGGGCTGTATTTGGCCTGCCAGCTGCGACTTCTGGAATCCTCTTTCCAAAAGTTTAGATGTGAAATGAAGAAGCATCTGAAAAATAAGCATGGTTTAGGACTGTATTTGAGAGGTGTGGGTGTTTGTGCGTGTGTGTGTGTGTGTGTGTGTGTGCGTGCACACACATGTCAATGGCTGCTTGTCTTTGTTTTCTTGGGTTTGGTAAATAAAACTCAGTAAGGAGGATTAAATATAGAGAGAGAGACCCAAAATATCAAAGATAGATGTCTGGAAAATTTAAGTGCCAGTGAGAGTGGAAAGAATGAGATCAAGAGGACATGAGAAGATGGGCTAATTTCCCACATCTCATTCATTTCCTTGAATGAAAGGAAATCATCAAAAAATTCACAAGTACGGCAAAGTCATCACTTTGCCGTACTTGTGAATTATCTGTATTATGATTTGCTCGATAGTTTTCTTTAGATCACCTTTTATTTTATATGGAAAAATAGAAAAATGAAAGTAGCGATGAAAAACAGAAACAAAAAATGAAGCCATATATCATTATTTGTACTGCCGTATTGTATTTTTCCAAACACGCATTTTTAAAACTTACAGAACAATTTGACAGTTTATCAAAAGTTTATCTCCATTTCACTTAAAATAATCTTGTAAATTGCTAGTAGAACATATAGCATGTCTTAGGAAAGATGGAATGCTTAGTTAGAGTTCTTTAGGTCATTCAAAGCAAGAATTTTTCCATGCTAGAATAACTGTATATAGCCTCGGTTTTTTTATTCAGGCAGGTCAACTTCAGTGGCCTGATCTGAATAAAATGGATCAAGGCAGGCACCTCTTTGTCTAACAATTTTTAAATGATGCTATTTGAATACCAAGAAGTTTGGAGCTTGACTGCAGAGCCTTCCGAATTAAGCTAGTCTCAAAAAAAAAAAAAAAGATACCATCAAGTAACAGGAGATTTGTCAGCCTTCCTGCTTTTACTTACATAGGTAACAGAGGGTGGAAGTTGGAAACTACTACTGGATTCTCATAAAGAAATGAGTTCTCTGGCAATGTGTAAATATCATCATTTTGGTGGCTACTTCTTTATGCTGAGTCTCCAAAATTTGATTTAAAAGACCAAAGAGAGGTCTTCCTGAAGGAGATTTACTCTGCACCAGTTTCACTTTCTCTAAAAAAAAAAAAAAAAAAATGTTCCAAGGAGGAAAATATACTTCCTTTGCCTTCTCAGTCTCACCCGTACCCTTCCTGAACCAAAACTCTAAAATGGAAAAAGCGAGAAGCCAGGCCTTCTTGCGAGAGCTGTGGCGCAGAAAGAAAGGCTTACAGTGAGTCCATCGTCATGAATGATTAAAACGGAACTGGGCAGCTATAGCATGACTTGTACAAATAGAGTTGCTCAAAGACTCATGCAGGTCCGACCTGCCTTGAAACAGATTACCGTCAAGGAAAATGTTTCAGCCTGTTCTGGCTCTGGGGGCACAGGCGACTCTGGGCATGCAGTATCGGGCCAAAGGGGGTCACAGAGCCGTGATGTTAGAGTCCAGGGGCTTCTCAGAAATTCCCAGTGTGTGTGGTCATCGCGGATTTGCGGCCCGTTAATACATCTCTCAAATGTATTTTAAATGCAGGGAATTGTGCAAGATATCATTCTGTCCAGGTAGCTCGCAACATACATCACACTCCTTATTGCCTTATGCTAGTGCGCATTATAAACTTGCAAAAACATACATTTGAGAGAGGCTCCCTGTTTTCCGTGAACGCTTCAGCACAGCCGTACACAGAACTGAGGCCAAAGTCATGTCCCACAGATTGTGCGCTAGTAGTCAGGATATCCAGCGACGCTGGGCCGCAGTGTTTGCAGTGGCTGCTTTCTGCGGTGTTATTTTCTGACTGCTTTCATTTCTCTCTTAAGCCTCCCTATTAAATCGTGCGCTATATATGCAATTTCATTACTGACAGAAACCTAAAAATTGAAAGCTAAAGAAAATAGCATTACAAAGCATACTCTGGTGATCTTAAAAATCATTTCAGGGGCACCTGGGTGGCTCATTCGGTTAAACACTTGTCCAACTCTTAATTTTGGCAGAGGTCATGATCTCAGGGTCATGAGATCAAGCCCCGCATTGGGCTCCAGGCTGAACACGGAGCCTGCCTAAGATTCTCTACCCCTTTCCCTCTTGCCCCCACCCCTACCGGTGGTTGCGCTCTCAAAAAAAAAAAAAAAAAAAAAAAAAAAAATTCAATGTTATCAAATACGTTTGCAGTGCGCTGCTGGGACTGAGGACTTCACAGCACAGTTTTCTGCAGTTTGCATTGCTGAAGTCCAAGTACCTATGGCAAAACTTGCCCCCACTTCCAAAATATAATTTTCCTCCCCACTAAGCTTCATTAAGTAAATCATTGACTCTGGCTTCTGGTAAGGACCAATTCCTACAACGAGTGTATCCAATTTCCTGCTAGTGGTAACTTTCATTCTTCCTGGAATAGCAGGAAACATTAATTTTGCATTGGACCCAGGAGTCTCAGGAAGCTGGGATTATAGGCACCATTGCCCCACCCTTTTCTCCCCTAAAATAAAATGAAATAAAATAAAATGAGCAGCAGCTCTGCAGTGAGGCTTGAGGGATGGGTAATGACAAAGAAGAGAAAAGGGCATTAATTTCAGGATGGGGACAGCTGCCCAGCACTATCTCCCTTTGGAGTTTGGTTCTTATAGCATCACGGTGAGTTATTAATATGTATGATCTGTACTTTATTCAAACATTATAAATCTATGCAGAAGTCTGGTGTTTGGGTTTTCCTTTATAGCTTTCATTCTTCTTCCCAGAATTATCTCATTTTGATCGGGAAACTTTTGCATAAAAAGCACACACCGAGAACTCACATTTCCATACCATAAATATTAAAAGGGGGTTAAGCTTTACAGTTTCTTCTCCCATCCCGATGGGAGGAAAGTTAGCCTTCTAATCAGGGGGCCATTATTAACGTTCTTTTTATTCACAAGCCACAAGGTAAATTTTAACTTACAATATGAAATTGTACTCCGTAGTTCCTTTCATTTATGTACATTGTGGAATGCTCGGCTGTGCCATGTCTTTTGTATGATATACTACAAATGTACTTTTGAAGGATATCCTACAAATCAAGCAGTCATTTGAGTTGTTAAGAACAGTTGGTTGGCTTATTTTTTGAGGACCAAACCAAGTCCAGACCTTTTTTAAGGATCGTGATTAAAGTGCTTTTCACTGGATAATTATAAAGAGTGATTCATCAGAGTGAATCTATAGCATACAGAAGAGGGAAATGGAACTAGAAAGCTGAATGTCTTCTTAGTAGCTTTTAAGCTTCTTAGCAGCTTCCTCTCTCCTGTTTATTGTCATTTTTGCTAGCATAAAGGCGTAGTCATAAATTTTGGTTCCCATGGAAATATAAAGGAATGCGTGAGCTATTTCATTTGGGTATACTGTCTGCTAATCACACAGTCTCGGCTCTTGTACTTTGTGATGGGAAATGAACGTGCTAATTGGTACTCTTTTTTCTTATTTCAGGAAACCTGCCATATGAATATAAAATAGTGATTGCTGGGAATCATGAACTGACATTTGATAAGGAATTCATGGCAGACCTTGTTAAACAGGACTACTACCGTTTCCCCTCTGTGTCCAAATTGAAACCAGAGGACTTTGACAACGTTCAGTCCCTCCTGACAAACAGTATTTACTTACAAGACTCGGAGGTAACAGTGAAGGGATTCAGGATATACGGGGCACCTTGGTAAGTGCTCATTGAAACAATCTTCCCCCCATTTTTTTTTTTTAGCTTGGCCCTAAGAAATTGTGGTGCAGAGGATAAGGGTGGAAAGAAAGCTTATTGCTGCATTTCGAACACAACACAGATTCTGGAACTGCTGGAAAGAACAGCGCTTGTTTTCACTGTGGTGCCGATTTCCTTAGGCAAGATGAATGGAAGGGCTATGGTTCGATACGTACATGTTTATGTGACTGGGGCTGCGTGTGTGTCTGTGGGACACAGAAGGATTTAGGGGAGGGTCACCGTGTTACCCTTCACACAGATTCAGCTACTCTGAACATTCTAGGTAACTCCTTTACCTCTCATTTTATACTGGAAGCGTTCCTGAAATGTCTTCTTAGATTAGGGTTTCTCAAATCTTGCTTCACATCAGAATCACCCGACCAGCTCTGAAGATTTACACATTTTTGAAGCCATACCTCCCCAGAGACTCTGATTCCCCTTCCCTAGGTAGAGCCCAGCAATTTGTATTTTGAAAGCTCCCCAGATGAGGCTGAGGTACGCTCAGTTCGAACTTTAAAGGTTGAGACTCAGTATGGAGAATTCTAGCCCTGAGCTCTAGAAAACTTGAAACAGGTGTGTACTCTTTGGGACCAGACAGGAAGCATTTGACCTTGTCTCTATCATTTGTCAGTTGTGTGCTTTTAAAGACGTTAGTTTACAGCCTCAGTTTCTGCATCTCTAAGACAATGGAGATAATACCTACTTTAGAGGATTGTTATGAGGATTAAATTAAGTGACATGTGTAATGGATATGGAAGAGTGCCTGGTGGTTTGCATAGGGTAATGATCATTTTCTGGCCTTGGTTCTGCTCCTGAGTATTTATGTGAACTTGAGCAAGTCACTTAGCCTCCAAACCAGTTTATTCATCTTTAAAATGGGAGTTCTAGACTAGAAGATCAGTATCAGAGGAGCTTTGGATTTTATTAATTAATTAATTAATTTACTTTTTGAGAGCTCTGTGTGTATATAGAGCAGGACTAACCTTTACTCACCCAATTGGAGAAGTACCCCAGCCCTGCACTGGATTTACAGATGAGGCTGGAAGAGGACAGACAGTGAGCATGAATTCAGATTGGCCATCCCACTTGACAGTTTGGTCTGTCCTCTGTAGAGTAGAAAGTGGGGGTATTTTCTCAACAGCTGATCTTTTTTTTTCCCCTAGCTTTACTAGTTGGGATCCAGGACTGATGCGGGAATACAAGAAGTATATATTTTGTTTTTTAAAATCAACCCAACAATGACTGTGAACTCTTACTTCAGTACCTACTCTATGCTATGCATTGTTCTAGATCTTTTTATCTTTTATCTCATTTTCCTTAAAATGCTTTTAAGAAATGGACACTGTTGGGGCACCCGGGTGGCTCAGTGGATTAAGCCGCTGCCTTCGGCCCGGGTCATGGTCTCAGGGTCCTGGGATCGAGCCCCGAATCGGGCTCTCTGCTCAGCAGGGAGCCTGCTTCCTCCTCTCTCTCTGCCTGCTTGTGATCTCTCTCTGTCAAATAAATAAATAAAAATCTTTAAAAAAAAAAAAAAAAAGAAATGGACACTGTTGCGATTCTGATTGGGCTGGTGAAAAAAACTCAGGCACAGAAAGGTTAAGTGACTGCTTAGGGGTCACCCAGACCGAGTCGGCAGCCTCCTATCCTGGTTTTGAGTCTGACTGTGGTGTATGCGGTATGACTGAGATGGGGATGGTAGCAGTGTGGTAATTGGGGTTTATAATCTGCGGTGGTGATGTCCAGCTTGACTGAAGTACATCAGGGAATGTTTTGTATATGCAAGAAGGTGGTAAAGGGCAAGAGAACAAACAGTAGGATTTGGTCCTATCCAAGTGTGAGCTGAAAACATGGTAATGTCCGATGTCGGTATTAGCATTTCTGGGCAAAGGTCTGGAGAGGGAGCTTTTCCTCCCTTCTAGCTCCCTTCTTAATGGCTATGCAGTAGTTTAGGAATGACCTCTGATTGGCAGAGAAGCTCTATGTGGAATTAAGATATTTTTTTAATACCCGAAGATGATTTCTGAAAGATTATGGAAGGCCGTTCTGGAACAAGCCAGACTTTCAGAAATCTCTGGATTGATAGTTGCTGAAGCAATGATAGCAAGCAAACTTCCTCCATTATCTGAGCAGATTAAAATCTGTATGGGAGAAGGTTTAGCTTCACTGGTTGACAGCTGTGATTAATGAAGGAGTGATTTTGGATCCAAAGGCAGATCTTGCAGCATCTCAAAAAATAATAAATATATAAAATAAAAATTTTTAAAAATTAAAAAAAAAAACCCACAAACCACATAGTAATTCAAATATGTGATGTGATGGGGCATAATCATTTTCGATGGTGGAAATATGTGATGTGATGGGGCGTAAAGACTTCAGACAATGTTTATGTCTGAGTTGAATTGATGTCATTCAAAAATTGTTTATTTTAATAGGGTGGTTTAATCAAGAAGGTAGGTAGGATGAGTCTTCTGAAATGTTATTCTAAAGTTGTCTTTACACATAATTTGTTGAGATTTTCAGAAAGCTTTAACTGTTTCCTGCCTAGCACTTCTTTACAATAAGGGGATCTGTAAATGGAATTTGTGTCACCATACGAATTGCTGTGTTTTGTCTTTGGACTAAAGATATGTATTTTGGAGGTATCAGTAATTTGGATCTCACTGTGAAGATATTTTGTTAAAATGAATAAAATAAGGTGAAAACAGAGAAGGAAGCAAACCATAAGAGACTCCTAACTATTGGAAAAAAAAAAAACTGAGGGTTGCTGTAGAGGAGGTGGGTGAGCAGATTTGGGGTAATTGGGTGCTGGGCATTAAGGAAGGCACTTGATGTAATGAACACTGGGTGTTACATGCGACTGATGAATCACTAAATTCTATCCCTGATGTGAATAATACAGTATATGTTAACTAAATTGAATTTAAATTCAAAATTTTGTATAAAATATTCCCAGGACTGCTGATAATCTGAACATTGATTTGGGAATGCCCGTGCTTTAGTCTTTCTATGCAGAGAGTACAGATTTTCTTAGCTCTCCCATTTACTCAGCCCTGGTACCTTGGTCGGGTTTCTGAGCATCTCCTGGTCTCTATTTTCTCATCTTTAAAGTGGGAGATGGTGGCATTACTTCTTTTCTGTGGTTGCTATGAGGATAAATGAGTTAATGCATCCACAGCACCCCAAAGACTTCCTGTCATAGAGTAAGCATCTAATGAGTGTGAGCTATTACTGATAAGGGGGGCTAGTCTTCCAAATCTACTTTATACATTTGCCCATCTTCATTTGAAGACTGTTAGACGAGAAGTCAGATAGGGTGTGTTGGAGCTTAAGTTCCACAGCTACTGGTTGAGCAACATGAGGCCAATCACTGAACTTCTCTTTTTGTGAAATAGGGCCAGCAAGGTCTGCCCTAGTATCTCTCATCCAGCACTTGCTGAAATGGTCACCAAAGCTAAAATTTTCAAAGAGTATCCATATTTTCCAGCATGCTTGATTATTTTAATCTTGTACACTTTGTAACCACTTTCACTTAGGAGTTTGACTGGAAGCAACGTTGGGGGGGATTTATACCAGAGCTATCGCTTTTCTCCTTTCAGAAGTTGGGTTTTTCCCCATCCCTGAGACCCACCCATAGGTGAATGTCTGCTCAGTTACCCGTTAGTTATTCTAGCCCCCAAATAATGTAAACCCGTTTAAGTTTGGTTCCTGGGCTTTTCCAGTGAACTTTGATATTACTAGTGGTCTTAGTTTCCAAACATAGATCAAAATAAGATCCTTGATACAAAGGATTTCCATCCTGTCATGGATTTCTCAGAGGGGATTGCCATCCCACCAGAAAGATAGCTGTAACTCCCATGTTTTAAAAATGTAGATCGTGACTTGCTTTCAGTGTTGAAGAGGAATATTAGTCTATATTCATTATGCTGTTTTAGCTTATAGCACAGCTGAATGCTTCCCAAAGGTGAGGGAGAATTAAAGCAATGTCTCTAATTTACAATTTAGCCAGAATCTGTACCTGGAGAATAATTTACAACACTTCCAAGGATCCGTGTGTATTTGCAATAGGGGTGCATTGGGGTCCTTCTTAGATTCTCAAGGACGAGGTCTGAGGAAATTCGGTGGCCTGCGTACACAGAAGATGTAAGTGAGCTGCCTTGTCCTGGAAGAAAGGTGCTCCCTTGGAAGGAGGACAAGAGCTGACCAGATCCAGGCAGCAGCCCCGGCTTGGGAGGTCTCGTGGCAGGTTCTGTGGTTTCTATATATATTCCTTCACCATCTTGTTTTTCCAAGTATCTGGAAGAAAGGAATGAAGCCTGATGTATTTGCATCTTTGGGAGTAACGGTTTAGACACAGCTTTTCTTAACTTCTCCAGCTATGTTTTCTTCTCCCTCTTTGGGGGAGAAGGAGACAGTCTTGTGCTGCCAGGCGATTAGGTCTGCCAAGGACTTGGGTCCCACGACAGGAAAGCTTGTGGATTTCTTGCATCCCTTGTGTTGATTTTCTGCCACCACCTTGGTTCCTGATTTCCTGTTTATGATCACTTTGAGTTCTGTCTTTTCCAAAAGCTGAGGGTATGGTTTGAAGGCAGAGACAAAATTTTAATGTTTGTCAGGCCACAAGGTAGGGGGGAAAGGTGGAATTTTTTAAATCAGCTTTGTATTTTTGGTTCCTGGATCTCTAGCCAGCATCTTAGTACAAGCAGATTTCAGGAAACTCATTTGCCATTTAAAAATCGACCAGTGCCTTTGTGTTTCTGTTTTGTTTGTTTCAGTTGCTCTTTTGATACTAAGATGAAGATGCTGTGTGTGGGGGGTGGGGGGTGGAGAGAGACAAAAACCCAGGTACTAATTGATCAGAAGCCAAGCTGCAAAAAGTAAAAAAAAAAAAAAAAAAGCCTGTAGTGCTCTGACCCCAGCAGAGCAGTCTTACTGTTTGGCGGTGGCTGCACCTTGTTCCCCTC